AACTTGTTTTTCATCAGGTATACCCAACATACTCTAGTGTGATCATCAATAAACATAACGAACCACTTAGACCCTACAATATTTGTAACTCTAGATGGCCCCAAATATCACTATGAATTATTGAAAAAGGCCTAGAACTCTTATAGTTAGGAGCTGGATAAATAGACCTGGTGTGTTTTTCAAGTTGACAAGTTTCACACTTAAAAGAAAATGAACTTTTATTTCTGAATAACAATGAGTACAATTTTTGTAAATAAGGAATGCTAGGGTGTCCTAGTCTACGATGCAATAGCATAATTTCCAAATCAGTTGAACTAGAGATATAATTACACCTAGAAACTATGTCTTTATTCCCACCGTTATTCTCATATTCTGCTTTATCAAAGTAGTAGAGTCCCTCTCTTGCTTTAGCATTGCCAATCATCCTTCCCGATAGAAAATCCTGAAATTCACAGCAAGTAAAGGAAAACTTAGCTACACAATTAAGTACTTTAGTTAATTTGCTAATAAACAATAAGTTACAAGTTAACTCTGGCACATGGAGAACTGAATTTAAAGTTAGATTTCTTGAAAGCTTCACTATGCCTTTACCAGCCACCTTTGCCATTGAGCCATCACACTCAAATTCCCATAACATGGGGTATAAGATATAAAAACATTTGAACTACCTAACATATGATCAGAGGCTCCAGAATCTATTACCCATAGCTTATCTGTTTCAAGATCTACACGTAAGGTTGTATGGGAGTTATCTGTCTCAGCAAAAGAACATGAGTGTCCAGCCAAATTAGATTGATTGAGAAGTTCCTGCAGATGCTCCAATTGTTCTCTGTTGAATGGTATAGACTCATTTCCTTCTGAATTCCGGACAATATTTCCTTCAACTTCAGCAGTAAAACCTTTCCCTCCAATCTTATTAGCCTTCCAATTTGTAAACTTTTTTGGCCTACCATGTAATTTCCAACAGGTCTCCTTAGAGTGCCCTGGTTTACGGCAATGCTCACACCATGGTTTCTCTCCTTTCCTCCACAATTTCTGATCTCCTTTTGAATTCTTCCAACCCTTAGATGCTAGGGTTGAACCTTCTGACCTAGGTAACAGATTTGACATACCAGAAGAAGTAGATTCACCCATTATTACTTTTTTCCTACTCTCCTCTCTTCTGATCTCTACAAACACCTCTCGAATAGAGGGTAAAGGATCTTTGCCCATAACTCTACCTCGTACTTCATCAAGCTCCTTATTCAGTCCAACCAAGAACTCAAAAATTCTTTCCTTTTCTAACAACTTTCTATATTTAACATTGTCCAGAGTACAACTCCAATCAGACTCCACAAACATGTCCAGTTCTTGCCATAATTGAGCTAAAATACTGTAGTACTGAATGACCGACATACCATCCTAGTTGGTCTCCCTCAAGTTTGTTTTCAACTCATAAACTTGTGCTACATTTCCTAGGTCTGAATATGTCTCTTTTGCCATCTCCCAAATGTCCTTCGCAGTGGGAAGAAATAAGAACAGCCATCCAAACTCTTCTTCCATCAAGTTGATCAACCAAGTCATAACAATGTTATTCTCGGCATCCCATTTATCATATGTTGGATCATCTTCTTTTGGAGCTTTAACACTTCCAGTCAAGTAGCCCAACTTTCCTTTCCTTCTTATCATTAATTTCATAGCCTGAGAACATGGTACATAATTTCTACCATTTAGTTTATGAACACTAATTTGAATGGAGTCTTGGTCCAAATTATTATGACCAGTTAGATGAAGCTGATCCTTGCTGCTTGAGGAGGATCCTGACCTTGAATCCCTTGGAGGACTCCTGCTCCCTGGGGGATTTGGACTTCTCTCCTGTTTTCTAACAGTCATAGCAGTTTCACCATTATTAATATTTCCGACTAGAGGAACCTGGCTTGATACCATGAAATCAGGAGAAAACAAATCATGATAATCTTTTATTTCAATCATATCTAATTGAATTACAAACTCTCTATTTATATAATTGAACTAAGACCTAAGTAGATAACTCTTAGACTAGGATTAGGCCTCTAGACTAATATTATCTCTTTTTATTTCAATCTCTTAAACTAGATAAGACTTAGATAACTCCTAAATTGATCATATTCTAATCTTGAAATCCTACAATTTTCAATTCTATCAAAGTATTCTGGAATTTATTGTTAAAAAAGAATCTATGTGATTTGCTTAATACTTTTGGATTTGATGTTTCTTTAATTATTTAGGATTCTTATTGTATGATGAATCGAGCGGTGAAGATTATAAATCTTTTGAATAGGGTTTCATTGTGTTCAACTGTTTTATTGATGTGATGATAAATCGCGCAGTGAAATCACTTTAGATCGTTAAAATGGCATAGACCATAGATTGAATTGAATAATTGGGAGAGTCTTATGAGATTTATGTGGCCAGTGTAGGTTTTAAACGAGTGCAGAACCTGACCGTTAATGAATTTCACAATTGTGTTAAATTGAGGGATTTAGTCATCTTTAGATCAATAAATTTCTTGAATCTGATTTTTATATAGCATGTCTGTCAACATCAGTTTAGGTAGAATCGAACCCTTAACATTTTTATCATATAGTGATATTTGTCTTTGTTATTTAATTGTTTAATTTCTAGCAATTCTTGTTTTTAATTTAAATTCATATCACCAATTTCGTTATCTCAATTAACAATTAAGATTAGTCAATTTATTTGTTTATTTAGCATTTAGTCCTTGTGGGAATCGATACTTTATGCATCACTTTATTACTTGTCTACTGGTGCACTTGCTAGCCTACGAAATAGTCACAACAACACCAACGTTGTCGGCGCGACTGGTTGCAGTTCTACTTTTTGATCTGGTTGTACGAGGCATGATTGATATTGAACAAATCTAGAAAGTTGGGCAATATCTACTACAAATTTCAAAGAGCTCTATGGGGCCTCTCCTTCTAGCGTCAAAATTTTGATGTGGAATCTGCAACAACCAGAGGTACGCAATTGACAATGATAGAACCACATAAGATGTATACGTGATCCCGATGGATCAGCGAAGTGGATAATACGATGATGGATGTGGGATAATAAACTTAGAATAACACAGAAACAAGAAAGAATTTTTAAAGTGGTTCGGTTGCTTATCCGGCAAAACCTATGTCCACTGTTATGTTATTAAATGTATTGACGAACTAAGTTACAAAGAGTTTTTCTGAGCTAGTTACCAAGAGTTATCTCAATAAGTAAACTTTCTCGAGCTCTCTCTTTTCTCAGTCTCTATCTCAGATTCTCTCTCCGGAGGGAGAATCTCTAAAACAGGTTATAAATGGGTTTATATAGCACCCGTTACAAGATTGAATTGGATATAAACTCAAATAAAAAATAATGAGATCTTCAGCTTTAATAGTGGAGTCCATATTGCAAGATATCTCCAGGCCAAAATAAAAATTATTCTTTCCGGATTTACCGCACAACGTTATTTTTTGAAACTTATATTTTTATGTAAATTACAATAGAATATCTATATGAATGTTTTTTTTTTTTCATATTCTATAAGTTCCTTCTTTATTTTCTTTTTTAAAGTACCTTAGAAAAAGAATGTAAAGTTTAAAAATATAAAAAAAGTTTTTAGGAAAATTTATACTAATGTATTTATGTAAAATTAAAAAGCATTAAGGGGCATTTCAGATATTTCTCAAGTAAAACATAATCAACATAAAAAAGTCTATAGTTAAAAATTTTCAAGGACAATACAAACATTTTAACAAATAATGCTAGGTTCACAATTCAATTTTATAACTCCCAATGTGATAATTCGTCATTGGTCAGCTCGCAAAATGGTCGCCTATTTGTATAGGTCCCGCCGATTCATTTACAAGCTAAACTTATGACGAACTATCACATCAGAAGTTGTGAGAGAAGGTTGTGAATCTAATATTATTAAAATTTTAATAATTAAGGGTTTCAAACAGTACTTGAGTCTGAGGTAGGGATTGTCACTGGCATTAGCCCATATAATTAATATCCGAAGGGAGTATAATTGGCATTAACCCATTTTAATTAAATATCCAATTGAGTTATTACCAGTGTATGTCAAGAAGTGCATAGGGAGTTTAGACAATTGTCCCGTTGTTCCAACTTTTTCTTCAAAATGATAGGTAAGAAAAGATACAACGAAGAAAAAAAAAAAAAAAATTATATATATATAAATTTAGTAAAGAAACCGCAAGAAAAGCTGACATGAGCTTAAAGGGCTGCCCGCTGCCGTATTACTGCGCCTTTGACGAACTGACATGCATTAGTTCAGACTTCAGATAACACTGCCCTAGGCTTTCATTTCGTTCACGAAAACACAATTCATATCACCATCGTCATCTATATATATTTTACATTTTATATTTTGTGCAAACTTTACTTGCTTTGCTTCTTTTATTTATAAAACAACTTGGGTAAAGTTCAGAGGCATCGTACCAGGTTCTTTATTGTCTCTTGATTTTCTCGAAAACTTTCGAAGGATAAAACTCTGTTTAAAGCAGTCTACTCTGCACAAAGCAAAATTCCAGCTTATGGATTTGTTCCTGTTCATTACATATCAAACCCAACATTGTAATGATCCGAATTTACACTCATTAAATTTATAATATTCTTCAGATAAAACTTGTGCAGCTTTCTATTTTTTTTTTTTTTTTTCTTTTTCCTCTATATTTGAAATGAGATATGATGAGATATCACAGTTTCACATTAGATGATTAGATTTAGATTTAAAGAATACTACTTAATCAAAATGCGTAACTTGATCTCAGTGGTAAGTTTGACGATAAGTTTAAACCGAAGGTGTAAAATTAAAGTAGGCTCAGGAACAAAGATACATACGTTTAAAAAAAGTATTAAGGGGACCAAAAAGAAATATATAAAGGAAAGATAGAATTTGCATAATAATAAGATTCCCTGCCTAAGAACCAAGATTGGAATAACTTAAGCTAATCACAACTACAAAACGCTAATATAAACACCTTTTTTTTGCCTTCAAATTTCCGTTGCAACAAAACGAATATAGTTTGGCATAAGCGTGCAAAGACCATCCTGCTTTGTTGGTCAGCTTGTCAAGTACAAAAGTAGTAGAACCCCGACAGTCTTCCACCAAATAAAGCTTGGTTTTTGCTTGCACAACGAAGGTGCTGAAGAGCCTAAAGATCTGAAAATAAAAGTAGTAATAAAAATTATTTATACATAAAAAAACAAACAAACAAAAACGTATACCTAGAGGTATTTTATACAAACAAACTTTTGTGCTCACAACACATACCCCGGGGCGGCATAGACACATTTGTTGTAACCTGTAATCAGCGGCATATATAGTTGTTAGTTCTGAAGTTCTCTCATCAAATTTGAATAACTCATGTGCATGTCATTGATTTCATTTTCTTAAAGCTTATAATAAATAGAAACTTCATGAATAAGGAACTTATGCTTAGTGATACAGGTGACCTTTTGAAGCACTTACTAGAAGCAGCATAAAGGAGATTCAAAGATTCCTAAGATCCAAGTTACATCAATTATATAGTTTAACTAAATGTATTCAGATAAACTAAAGGTGTTAAAGATTTAATACTTTAAAAAATGCATCACAGCCACATTAATGTTTAATAACAGTAAGTTATCTAATGTTTGAAACGTTGTGTGCCTAAAAATCTTGCTCGTTATTTAAAATTCCTGTCCACTTATATATAGACAAAGAAAGCAGAAAGCAAAATGATCACTCACTGGGGTTATGTTTAGTTACAGTGGCAGTTCCTCCAAAATTACAAGCGATATCGGAATTGCCATTCTGCTGATAATAGCTATTGAATGCATAGGAGGCGTGAGAAACAAGCGTGTCTGGTTCGAAACATGATCCGCCTTCTTGGATAGCTTTGCAGTTGGTCATTCCCAACCCACAGGCCCAGTCTAATGCATTTTGTAAATCAATCTGTGAAACCCCATTAAGGGCCACACACCATGTTGTTCCATCAAGGAAAGTTGTGTTTCCTTCTGGAGGTGACAGAACTGTAACTGGAACTGCTGCATCTGCTGCCTCCATTGTTGAAGCTAATATTTTATAAACCAAGGTAACAAAAACATATACATTAAGGTCATATAAGTTCTGTAGAAATAGTTACCAAAAAGCTATTGAAGCAAACCATAGATATTACAATAAGGTCATAAAACTGAAAAGTAGCTTCAACATAAACAACCACCAGATTAATTAAATTTTCTTTTCTTTGCTAAATGTTAAAATATCTCAATATTCTTAATTTGAGTATCTAAACTTTGATATGTTTATAATATATATAGAAAAGTTGTCTCTTAATTGCATTGTTTTATAAGAATGTTATGAAGTCATATCAGTAATCACATAATTGGCACCAAAAAGTTAAAGAAATTATAAAGGATTATATAAAAATGATGAAGTATTCGTAATAGCCAACAATGTATAGACAATCAAAACAATATAATATGAAATTAAGATGTATAAACTACTCTAAACCATGCAGCATCAATCGTTTAACCGTCATAATAGTCCTTGGTAAAGCTATGAATAGTCTTAATTAAAAATCCAATTTAATGTCCTCACATAGAACAACACAAGATGCATTGGGGAAGCAAAGTATGTCTGCCTCTGCTCTGCCTCCGCCTCCATTCTTTTTCTTTATTGTCTTTTCATCAATATGCAATATTTTATCATCTCGATTATTTATCTCTCTCACCCAATTTAATAAAATAAAATAAAAATCTATAAACTTAAATATTTCTCCCACTACTTATCAAAGCAATAATGTTCTGCTTAAAGTCATAAAAACAAATAAAAATTGCATAAAATTGATGTAAAATAACTGTTTTATTCTTTGTTTTTGTCTATTTATATGACTATAATTCAGTTGTAAGCTCTTATCAAAGAGCGTTTTATAGGCAATATTAACATTAGGTCATGAACTATAAAGTGCATTAAAGAAATTAAAAATATCATTGAAATTACCATAAATGAGAAATCAAGCTAAACAAGAAAAACTGAACTACCAAATTTATTTTGTCAGTTATGATTACACCCTCTAATTATTAAAATCATTAAACAGAGAGGAATAACGAAAATTAAGACATTAATTACAAAAGAAGATATGCAAATTATCTAAGGATTTTTGAGCTGTTGCATATTATTTACCTCAATTTTTGTCAATTATGGGGTTTCTTCTACCTCTAATAACTAGATTTTTGATGATTAAATGGAACAAATAATATACTTAATTGGAGATATAATGCTTTTCTTGTTCCTTTTCACTCCTTTAAAGTCAAAAATATCTACCATTTCAATGCTAGCTAAAAGTAACAACGGTTTATCAATGTACACATAATAGAAGGAAAATAAAAAGACACAGAGAGAAATATGAAGGCAACTTTTGTACAAGGCTTAACTTTCATAATGATAAACAGACTGTAGACTGTTCACTGTTGCCTCTAAAATAAAGCAATTTTTTTTCTTAAGACTTTAAAATAATCTCGAAAATAAAAGTGTTGTTATGGACAAAGGAAACAGTTTCTGAACCTTCACTGAAGAGATGATAAGCAAAGCAAGGAAAACCAACTGAACCACAACGTAAAACAAAATAAAAAAATGACCCAGAAAAGCAAGACCAAGGAAAAGAAACTAGAACTAATAATAAAAGGAAATTAAGGTTATAACAAGAGAAAGAACATACCCAGATAGCATTCCAGAAGTAAAAGACACTGAAGAATTATGTTTTTTCTCATGGTAAAAACACCAAAAAGCCTCCTTCACCTGGACAGAAATTTTAGCTCTCCAGTAGTTATCCTTAAAGATAAAGAAGCTGAAACTCTCTCTTCTCTCTCTAGTTACTCTTCGTCCACGATCTTTGGATATGAAACTTAAAGAGTGATAATGAGGGGGGTATAAATGGCGGAGAGTTATGAGGAATCATCGGTTTCTTCTAAGGAAATTATCTTCTTTTTTTCTTTTTGCTGTATGAATGTGTGCTAGCTCAGAGAGTCTGTGTGATCAGTGAATTCTTCAGAAGCTAAAGTATTGGTACTGTGCTAACTTTGTCAAACTTTTTATTTTTTATTTTTTAATTAATTAATTGTTCGTACAATAAAATATAGTATCTAGGTTAGCCAGAAGGTTTTGTATGATTCGTGACAAATTGGTTAATTGACTCCGACATGCGAAACTTCTCTTGCAATTTAGACACTTGTTAAGGCTACTTTCGTCAAATTGACCAAGGCCTCGAGGCCTTAAATTTAAAGCTATCGGTTTCAGTTCGGATGGGATTATAATCCCTTAATTAAAATTTTCCGAAATTTTCGTAAACCCACCATGCGTTTGAGGAACTATGAAAGAACCCGTTGGTCCAGGAAATAAGACCTTAGCCCCCATTCCGTCCAGTTTCGCTAATGAAAGTCTATTAAGAAGTGCAAAGACGATTTTACCCTTCAACAAAATAACAAAAGACCCAGACCCCCTAATCGCCAACTACCTTTTGTCGTTAGTGTCGTCATCTGAAACAACCTTGAGACACAATTGGAGGGTAGCCACTGAGAGGCCTTGGGGGCCTCTGATATGCAACTTAAGGCCACCAGAGGCCTCACAATTGCCGTGAAAGGCTTGAAAGCCTTAACGGCAACGACGATAGACTTGAATTCCGCTTCAATATTAAAAAAGTATTCAATTTTATTTATTGAATTTCGCTTAGTTGAATTATGGTTAAACTGTATTTGTGGGTTGGTATGTGGCGTGAATGGACTATGGAGGATGCGATTTGGGTGTCGCCGACTTCGCGTGGTGGTTTCACGCGAAGTAGCAATAGTAGAAAGGTCGTTAAGGGGGAAGTCATGCAGTTAGTCAGCTACCGCACTCAGTTAATCATAATTCATAGGGTGCTTATGTGTAGGAATAGACGTATACATCATTACATAAGTAGTTAGATAAACGATATGTCAAAGTCAAGCACCTGGAGTGAGTAGGATTGAATAAGAAGGGAGATGTACCGTATGGCTTGACAAATACTTCTTAATACTCATAATTTGTTGATTTTATTTATAAGTGGCTAAGTAACATTAATCATATGTTTCGATATATACAGATTTGGCTACGTTCCTTCCATGGAATCAGATGCAGTTCCTCCATTCTCCGGATAACAAAATGGGCTACTTCCAACAATTCGGCTCGGCCAGGTTTTAAAACATTGAATGTAACATTATAATATTATGTGTGGCTTATTAGGACAACAGTGGTTATCGACTTGGATATCAATTCGTACACACCGAAAGCACGAGTTATAGTCAATATTGATAAGACATCAATTTCAAACCAAGAAAAACCGCCAACACACATTCTAAATATTCAATCGTGTTTATGACATAATTGTATAACGTACACTAATTTAAAACCCAGACTGGACCAATCGGTCTAATCAAGACCCGACAACTTCTCCGATCCGATTCAGGTTTTGGAGATATATCAAAAGTTTAAAGATTAATTAGTAATTTTCAAGGCATTTTTTTAATAAATAAAAATTTTAGGGACTGAATTTAATTTTTTTAAGGATTTTTGTAATATATTAAAATTTCAAGGATTAATTTACAATTTTTTAAAAATAAAATTATTACTAACGCCACCAATCCAACCGGTTGAACCAGTCGACCCATGACCCGATCATCTTACCGAGTCTCACAAAGGGTCGGGTTTTAAATCAATGATAATGTACATAATTTTCCGCACATTTCATAAAACAAAAACAATAACAAATTAAGTCCGAAACATTTAATGCAACAAGATAAATAATGAAAATCTACACTTTGGACAACCTCGACTATTATGCAATAAGAGAGAATTGATATCATAAGTTGACCATGTGAAATCTGGGCAATCAAGGCCCATGGTGGCCAAGTAATCAACAGTATGGTTATGTTCCTAATAAGTATAAGAACGTTGGACTTGCATATTAGAAAAAATAAAAAATAAAAATAAGCATGTGGGGATAAACATGGCCAACATCAAACCAGAGCAAAACAGTCTTAAGAGACGATGCATTTATAGCTCTGTAACAAACAAGGCGGCGATAACACACTGATATTCACCGGAAAAACATAAGAGAAAAACTAACACTTCAACCATACAGAGGCCAAAGTTTAAGTTTTGAAGCTCCTCTATCAATTGTCTATATCTACACTTACAATTTCGAGATATGATCCTATATACTAACATTTTCAAGATATAATCCTACATCTACACTAACATTTCCGGGATCTGATCTTATAACCACACTTAACATCTTCAAAATATGAACAGAAATTAGTCCAAGCATAGGTACCATTGTACCAACAACTAACCTGTCAACATAAACAATCCAAAAATTACAGGAGGAAAATAAAATCAATCCATGAAAATAAAAATGCTCTTAAAGGCTCCTAAAATTGCACTTTTAGTTATAGCATGTCTCTAGGATGGATGACAACTGAAGCAAAAATGCTTAGAAGAAAGTTTGAAATATCTACATAAACCATAAAATAGGTTTTTCCTACTAGAAGAAACTCCAACTTTCTGCTTTAAAAAATAAGAACTGTAAAGTTCAATCTAGAGAAACAGTATAACACAAGTTAAATTTCAGCCTTATCCTGCAATGTTTGTAACATATCAATAGCAAACCAGAGCATAGTTATAAAAGTTTGGTAACACTCAAGAAAACTAAATGTCAATATCAAACAAATGCACAAGCACCAACATAATTACAGGTCAAAAGATGACAGAGAAATGCAATGAGACTCAAATTAAAACAATAAAAGCATGGCAGTATAGAACAGTTACGGAAAAAAAAAGAACATTTATACCCAATTGAATGGTAATGCAATTAGAAGACATGAATTACTTTAGGGTAATGCTATTTGTACAAACTCTTTGTACAAAGAGAGTTTGTACAAACTTACGTGGCACACCATGTGAGTGCCACGTGACATAAGGGCTCACATAACATTAATGTGACATTAAGTTACGTGGGTCACAATATCACATGACATGCTTCATGGTGTGCCACATAAGTTTGTACAAACTCTCTTTGTACAAATAGCATTACCCATTACTTTAACCTAACTACCGCTGAGGTAAACTATAAAAGATATTACTGTCACAACATGGCCACACAAGGACAAGTGTAGTCTCCACTGCGGTGAATGCAGCATATTTCTTACATTATGCAACAAGTCAAACCATGAGAGAGACAGAGAGAACACCTACCATAAACACAATAATAGGATAACAATAAGTCGCTCAAAACACCTACACAGCAAGAATATTTGATCGACAACCCTTTTTGTTTCCATTGGCCATACACTACGAAAACAAACATATTGTTCTATTATAATACCATCAACAAAATCCTCAACTAGTGGAGTAAGAAGATCCATACGATTCTAAATCACTACCAAACTCAAAGCAAGCTTATGCATGACAAGAACATTCCAATCGAGAACCTTCGCTACAAAAGTTTCACAACTCCTGCCACAATGAAGAAATGGAAGTCAATCAGGAGTAAGCCCAACATCGTATAGCTAAATGCATAGTTTAGCTGTAGTTATAAAAAACAATACTGAATCTACAATCCTTCAAACAATAGTTTCCTACCAACAACACAAACCTAAGATCATAAACATAAATTAACAGCATAATTCAATCAATTAATCCAATATGATTGAAAATCAAGAAGCAGGCATACCCCATCAATGTTGCTGCTCACTGTTGCTGCTGCGAAGGGTTTCCTGGGGGAGGTGGCATCCCAGGACGAGGAGGTGCGAAACCAGGAATCGAAGCACCAGGCGGTGGAGGCATCCCAGGACGCGGCGGAGGTGCATTGGGCATTCCCGGTCGAGCTTGCGGAGGAGCAGGAGGTCCTCTCATCATCGGCCCAGGTGGAGGCGGCACCATTGGTCTCTGACCCCCAAACTGCTGTGGAGGCATAGAGAACTGCTGGGGCGGCGGCCTAACCCCAAAAGGCGGGGGAACCTGCTGCGGTGGGCCCCGCATGGGTGGTGGAGCCTGTCCCTGAAACATACCAGCTGGAGGCATCTGACCAGGCGGACGAATCACGGGCGGGGCAGCAGGGGGGTAACTGACAGGTGGCCTAGCGATCTGTGGCTGCATCATGGCAGGAGCAGGGCCACCAACACCACGAACGGGTCCGGCCAGACCCGGCTGGGCTTGGACAAGCGGAGCAGTGGGGACTCCACGGCCAGCGGCACGGCCAATACCGGGACCAGCAGCGGCGGAAGCGGAGACGGCCTTGGCACGTGACTCTTCAGGAGGAGGAGGGCCTTCAACGGTCATGGAAATGACTTCTTCACCCCTGAGAAGGACGAGACCTAAAGTGCGACGGTCCTCGCGTTCCTCATTGTTATTATTTTTCTTGCCCTTAGCTGGGGGAAGCTTACGAAACTCTTCAGTGTCTCCGAGAACGAGGTTCATGTGACGGTCAAAGGCCATGAATTTTCCGATCAGCTGGCGACCGTCTTGGATGGTCACGCGCATCCGGTAGTTTATGAATTGAAGCATCTTCGAACTCTTAGACATCGACATTGTAAAGTTGTTGGTAGTTTCTGTTGATTTTAGGGTGTTGGCTTTCAGGTCTTCTCCTTCTTCAAATCGAAGACCTGAGAAGAGTAGAGGTTTTGGTTTTAGGGTTTTGTAATTCTGGTGTTCTTCTTCGGTAAAAGAGGTTCTATTCCAATTGAATTATTTGAGGGTTTTGGGTTTCAGTAAAGTAGCTAACCCGGATTTATTGGCGGGCTTGGGCTTACTAGGATTCCTTAAAATGGCCCAGGTTTAAAGACCAGCGGCCATATATTAATAAAATATATTATATAATAAGACACAAAATATAATAGAATGTTTAGTGCATTATAACACACTATTAATTTATATTTAATTTCAAAAAATGAATCAAGAAATTTAATATAATAAATATTTATTTGAATTTACT